TGGGACCAAACGCCAAGAGATCGTCCACGTACACCAACATGCATGCAACCGGTTCTCTCCAGCAGTGTCTCTCTCCATCTTTTGGTACTCTACGAAGATACCATAAGTTCGAATCGACTAAGCTCTGCTCGAACATGCATGTGACCCCATCGACTTCGCATGACATGCTCTCAATGTCACCGTCCCTCTTGATAGACCAGTCTCTAGGAGACTGGTCCAGTCCGTACAGAGCCTTGCGCACGAGCAAAAAACAGGACCGATCGATGTGTCCATGTCTATGCACTATGCTCGGAATCTTCAACACAATCACCTCAGTTGGAATATCCAAGGACAAAGGTGGCGGTGAGGTACGAGGGTTGTGTCGGTCGAGCAATTCGGCGTTTAGAAAAGCTGTGGTGATGTCGGTAGCTCCCCCCTTCCATGCGTTTTTTACGGCGATCGACGCCGCCTGGCGCATCACTGAAGGGNNCCTGGCTTGGTCCACCGAGATGATTCCCGCAGGCAACCAATCGTGCCTTATGGCGCCCCCCAGCCTTCCTGGTAAATACCACTTTGCTAGGAATGACTGTCACCCTTGTCCCCTTGTCTTGCATTGCCTGCAGCTCGGCGCTGGAAATCACCCGTACCGCCTGCTTCTCGTGGATCAACGAGTCCAACTCAGCCTGAACTGCCTTGGACCATAAACCGTAATGCCTTTCAACCTCTTCCAAGGGTACGGTGTGGGTAGTTAGCACTTCCGCATCGGGGAGTCGAGCGTGGAATACTCCAGGACCTCATCGGCCTTGCAACACCTTTCTTCTAGGCGCCCAATGGTGGATGACAACTCATCGATAAACCCTTCACGGTCGCTATCCCCGGCTACTCCACTGCGATCTCGGAGCTTACACTCCCGAGTCAGCAACGCCTTTAGGGCGACTTGCTGCACATCAGGGTCAAAGGACTCAGAGGCCTCTCCAAGCCCGACCCAAGTATCGCACGAGCTATCATGATCATCAGGTCCAACCTCACGATCCGATACTCGACCTACGATTCTCTCCCACTCGACACAAGTAGGTTCACAGAACAGAAGATTACTCGTCACAGACTCCTCTTCAACCGGACACTCCTCGGAAAAATCGGCATTCAGAGCGTTTATACCACCTTCATGCCCCACACCCACTCCGAGTGAGCCACACGTTTCGTCCTCCCACCCAGCGCTGCCTGGCTGGCCAAGGGAAGGCGAAGCCTTTAAACCGCTCTCTGCATACTCAACAACATGTCTTTCACAGATTGAGCACAGTCCAGCTACATCACGCTCACACGCCTTGCATCTGAAGGACCTACCGGAAAACACTGCTGTATCACTAGAAGCCCCTGGACTCTGAATGAGACCCGGCGCCCAGTGCACACACTTCTTCTTCGATCTTCCTACACCCCTCAAAATGCCCTGGCTCTCACTCACAGTCTCTCCGGTGTCATCACGATCACACGAAGAGTCGTTACGACGGCCATCAAAACACTGAGAATCACCACGACCCTCATTACAACACTGAGTCTCACCACGACCCTCACCGCGCTGAGCATCATCACGACCCTCATCGCAGCACCGAGCATCACTACGACCCTCATCACAACCCTGAGCCTCCCTACGAGCCTCATCACACTGACGATTTGCCACTGCACCAGCAGCTGCAAACTTCTCTGCATTCGCTGGGTCTAACCATGGGTAGGTATCAGGAGCACTCTGATTCCGCACCAAACTGGAAAATGACCCAGCCTCATCCCCATACCTAGCGTAAAAGTTTGGGACATCTACGATATCACCGGCTTTCAGCTGATTTGTGAGCCTGCGTCGTTGGACAAGCGTAAGCCCTGACCGCATCTCTTCTTTCTGAAGATCTCTCACCCTCGAGTCGCGAGCATCATGGCAATCTGAACCTTTAACTTCGGAGCCCTGGAGAACCTTTTCTGGGCCTTTGAAAACTTTTTCGTCAACACGTTGCTCTAGGTCTCCCCCCTGCTGGTACTCGCCAGCAGCAAGTTGGAATCCAACATCACGCAGCCCCTGAAGCTGCCGGTCAGTGGCCTTGTCAAGACCCTTCAAGCTATAAGCAACCAGCAGAATACGGGACCCCTCGCTCCAGTCTTCTGTAGCATGCCACTTATGAGGGTTCAGGAGGAAAGGACACAATGGAGTAAGCTGATGGACAGTACCAGGTGCCTGTTGTTTGGGCGTGACCCATCTACAATCTTTTCCGTTTTCATCTTGCACCCAAATCCCTCCCCCCTTCCTGGGAACCTCAAGGGGTATGACAGCGTTGGAGGTCGGTTGGTTGAACTTGTCCTTGTGCGGTTTTGCCGTGGTTTGACTGAGGACTGCAAGTGTAGTACACACATGTCCGGGCATCACATGTTGCACAAGACGGTTGAGTAGTTTGGTAAACCCCGGGAATGACACGCAATCCTTAGTCAACCCAACCATACCACCATGGCAATAAAATCCTAAAACCCTTGTAGACCCTGCACCTTCTCCAAACCTCGCTCCAAGTCTACCCGACGACTCCCGAATCCAGCGCGACCCTAGCACGAACTTCCGAGCCTTATCAACATCAAACGGTTCGATCGACGCCAGACATGATGCATGCTCATCTTCCGACAATAGACCTTGAAGCATCTCCACAGATTCATCAGCACCGGGTCTCTCCGGTCCACGAGCGCTCAACGATGTCTTTCTGCGAACACGAACATCTGGGATCACTGCAGGGATAGCCGGCTTTGCTTTATCGGCGGGTATTTCAAACTCCTCTGGGTTCGTATGCACAAGGTCTTCATACACGCATGGCACATTTACCAAGTTATCTTCAACAGTGCGCACAAGATACCCTGCTGAAAGCTCACGTGCTGGAGCCAACACCCTGGCCTCTACCACTCTAGACTTCCACTCACCACCTTTTGCCAAATGCCAGCTTCTCTGAAGCACATGAACCTTAGACCCGAAAGGAATCAACCGAGGCATGTCCCACCCCAGCTTCATAGCCTGCTCACGGAACCGTTGGGCACAAGCATGACGGATGGCATAAGGCC